TCAGCTTTAGTTGCGCTGTTTGTATTGGTAAATTGGGACAGTGCACTGTTGCTAAGTAGATTTGACCCATAGATGTATGTGGGAAAGCCTGGTGGTCTTCCTCGTTTCTACTTGAGGCGCTGACCCATGTGTAGCCTCCTGCTCTTCTGTCCCTCTCTCTCCTGCAGCCCTCTGTCTTGGCCCCTGGCCTGCAGCATGGCCCTCTGCATGTGTCTATGACTCCCCCCTATATTTATGGGGATATGGTGGACACACAGGGAAGAGACTGGTCTCATTCAGGAAAAGCCCGGTGGCCATGAAGCGAAGGCATTCGAACTGACTGGTGTGGTGGTGTGGTTATGTTGCAGCTCTTCTAATCTCGTTTGCATGTCACTGGTGCTATTAAACAGGCCTTTACTATACTGGTGTCAGAGGTACTGGTCTTTTCACAGATGCAACACACATATAAGATGTACCTTTTCAGATAGTCATGTTTTACATTTTTAGATGGTATAGTCACCAGCTTTGGGAGAGTGGACCAGTCCCTTTTTCTACTAACAAGAGAATCGCAATGAGTCGCTCCTGTGCTGACTGTTTCTTTCCTCTGTATTACTGGAAACTGAATTTGTAGCTGGCCGTCTCTCAACTGGACTGTAGCTCCCTTGACCTTCTTCGCTTTTCTCTTCTTCTCAGCTAGAGGAAAGCATACAACGAGGATGGCTTCTCTAACCAGCTCTTTTTGGATCTTAGATTGCCAGTTGCTTTGGCTCAATAGGAGGTTGAGGTGATTTCACCTCTTTCTCTCATCCCCGCCTCTTCAACCCTTCTTTTGCTCTGGGCGAGCAGAATGTGGAGAGATCTGCCTCCAAATGCAGCATCTCCCACCCAGGCTCAGCAAAGCCGGGTGAGGAGGGGGCATTACCTCCACATGCTGTAGTTGGAGGGGGTCTCTATAAAAACTGATACCATGAAACTCACACTTCTCTTTTATTTCTCCTTTACAGAACTGGTCAGAATGGTTATGAGCGGGTGAAGACGAAGAGCAACCCACTTTTTTCTTCTTTTTTTTTTTTCATGTACCCCCTTTTTCCATTTAGCTTCTTTCCATGAGTTATTACTCCATCTTTAATTTAAGAAGTGCCTTTACATTCCTCACAAAAGATCCAGGTTTTGCTTCCAGGCCTTTTCACCTGTGTGACCAACTTGTATTCATTTGGGTTTATATTACCTGCAGCAGCATTTCATCATGTAAGAAAACATAAATCATTATGCAATAACTTCTGATTATTATAATTTTTTTTAGATAAGACCTTTAAAATACATATACTGTCACCAACCTGCTGTGTCATTGCTAAGACTTGCTACGGCTGAATAAAAGTGTTTCTGACTGTACGGTAAACCAGTGTATTTAAAGCCATACTAAGGCAGAAAAAAAGTTTTCTGTGTTTAGAATTCAAACAGATTTTGTTGCTGCATTTAAATAAATGTTTTCTGAGAACCCATGTGGTTGTTTTGTTTGATTTAGTATGATACAGTGAAAGATATTTTGATATATTGATTTTCGTTATTTGTGGGGGGGTTTCTGCTGACACAAGAGGGCAGTATTACTGCTGATATCTGTCTTGCTTGAGCCTTCAGTGCAGAAAGCTGCTCTATTCTGCTCCCTTATTCACATGGGGGCACCACAGCGTATAGCTGCACACATTCGATTTTGATTTTTACACCAGATGCCCTTCCTGGTGCAATCCCCAAAGGATTTTTGTATCCCAGAATCAAACCAATGATCTTTCACTTCTTAAGCAAATGTGTAAACAACTACACTTGCATTGGTTGACTGTCAGAATTTACGGTTTATACCAAAGACATGCCTTCAAAAGCCCTTTTTGCTGACTTGAGCCAAATTAGAAATTGTACAGGAGTTTGTTTCCGGTGACACTAGTTTCTAATGTAGGATCTCATCTGTTTGCAGCAGCTGTTTAGAAACATTAAAAGTTTTGTTTTTTATATTTCTTCTGGCCATGCTGTAAATTTTCAGAGAAATGAGGAAATGACAAAGCACAGACATGAGCAGTAGAGGGCTGTTTGGTGGCTTCCTGACCTTTTCTTCACTTTCCTCACAAGCAGCCACAACTATTTCCCCTCATTAGGCACTACAGCTATTGGAGTGTGGAGCTCGTGTGTGTGTGGGGTAAGGTTCAGGAGGGTGTCATAGTCCAGTGCTGAATAGGTTGTCCACTAATTACTCGGTGTGTGTGTATGTGTGTGGTCGATGGAAGTCAAGGCTATTGATTATTTTAATCCTCCTATTTGTGAGTCTGTGATCCTCGTGGCTCTGCATTCGACAGGGGAATCACTAATGGGCCTCAGCACAGCCTGTCTCAGACCTCTCCCCGTCCAATTAACTTTCAACTGGAATCTGCCAGGAGAGAGAGCCGGGGGCTGGGCCCAGGCGCGGTGCGGCTACATCCTCCTTTTTCTGCTCAGGAGCAACAGATTCACCAAATCCTTTACGTCTAGACTGTCTTCAGCTCTCTACTGTAATTAGATACTTCACTTTCAGCCAGTGATCTAAGAAAAAATCAAGATGCGTTCTCTTCAACATGGAGATGATGTCTCCTTCTTACTGGTTTAAAAAGTGATGAAGTGCCTACTCTAAAAAACTACTGGTCCTGAATGTGGGGAAATTATTCACAGAAACAAGATTTGGGAATTTGTGTGCAAACTTTATTTGTACAGCACATTTGGGCCTTCTTGTGAACTTTAAAAACATTTTGTGCAATGCACCAATAATTATGCATCATCTGAAATATTGCCCACCTTTTTTAATCTTGATCATTTCATGTGTAATATCAGACTTTATTGATTATTAATAAACATAAAGGTGGTTAGTAGTTTGCACAGATTTTTGTGGTGAAATTAAAAGCTACTGATCCACTTAGATAACTTTTAAAAAAGCCCTGGAATCCCAATTACTTTAATTCTTTATGTGATTAAAAAGAGATCGCATATTCTTTTTAATATGATTTTGGTGCTTGTAGGTAAGAAAAAACACCAGGGCTGAGATTTTCAGTCTTTCAATCAATAGACAGAAAATTCCAAAACTAATCACTCGAGTAATTTCTGAGGCAAAAATGCACTAGTTCCAGCTTTTCAAATTTGAGCGTGCATTGCTGCTGGACAAAAATAAGACATGAAATGATGCGTCTTTAGGAAAATTCGATGGGTTTCAATGTTTTTTTTCTTGGGTTGAGAATATAAACAGTAATGAAAATAACCGTGAGTTTGATTTATCAAATATTTGAGGTGAATGAGTGAGGGAATTTGGTAAACATGTTTACAATAGCATTGTACCTTAATTATAAATAATGTGTCCTGATATTTCATGATAGTCTCACATAAAGAGACCAAAGGGTATAAGTGTGTGGGACTGGCATTGCTTATTTTGCATGGACTCAAATATTGTTTGCATAATAAAATTATTATCTTCCTTACAGGGACAAAAATCTAGTGTCCAAAATGTAAATAATTAAGTTTTACACTTAAAGGTTAAGGTTTGGGTTAGGTGAGGAACACAGTGTCTGTGTGAGAGAGTGAGATTTGGAGGGAGGAAGAGAAAGAGAGAACGAAAGAGCCGAGTATGACATCCATAAAATCACTGAGCTGCAAGAAGTAAATTCAGATTCCAGCCAATATTTGCAAAGAAAACAGTTGTATATTTTCGTTAATGGTGAGCTTTGTGTCAAAAGCATAATAGATCATTGTCAAGACCAGTTTGGATTGTTTGCACAGCTGATTCTACATTTAAATGTATACATTACCTGCACGTAGTGGAGCCTTTTATAAGCTGAGGTCAACATTGTCAAATATTTGTTTGTGTCTTAGTGTCTTAACATATATTGGAAATCCACACTGAAGCAGGCTGCCATTTCGATTTTGACTATAGGTCCACAGAGTCATGTCATCTACTCAATTCAAGTCAGTCCAGCTGGTCAATTCAAATAAAAATAAAAAGGTCGTGTGCGTGTTTATGAGTGTAGGTGCCTACATTTAGCACTGACCTTCACCATGCCAAAACAACATGCAAGAACACAGAAAGTGTAGGTATAGATATTTTTAATAGCAACTGTCAACTCAAACGTTTCAATATACTTCATAGCCCATCCCAAAATGACTCTTTTACATATGGTGATTCTTTGACAAGGTATCTCAGACATGGCAGTGTAATTCTAGTCAGGTGTGAAATGTACAACATTTAATGAAAATAAAACACTGGACTTGTCAATGTTTCACCTCCCCACTATCTTACATGATTTATATATCCACTCACACATATTAACATGCCCACGTACTCACATACACGCACGTGCTCTCAAACACACACAATATAATGCACTTGGCAATTAAAATTTCAGTACACAAAAGTGCCATCGATGAAATGCATTGTGATATGTTTCCTTGCAATGTTCAGATGCTTTCTTTTGTCCTGCCAAGTGACATTCGGCGCCATAATCAAAAGAGAAGAGAGGAGTCAAACATCTGTTTATTCAAATGGCCTCGCTTTAATCAGTATCGTCCCAATGCTGGCTGAATCACAACAGGGATTTAATTCATTTCAATTGGTGTAATTCACTTTGAAGCTTAGAGGAAAGTATTTTACAATGATGAGTTGCAAAATGTATGCAGGCCATTCAAACAGATTGTTGGAAAGCGGAGCAGAAATGTGTAAATAAATACTGTGCAGGTAAAGATTGGAACACCTTTGTCTCAGCTTTGTTAATTAATGGCACCCTTAACACCATCATTGCAGCACGACAGCCAGACTTATGCTCTTTCATTTATTCTAGTTTGCACAATGTCATATAATATATAATACATTACAATTCTTTAGATATTTTAGAGCCACAATGTAGAATTTGAATTTGCACCTATATTGTACATATTCTGAAATTCATATTTGTATTCAAAGGGCACCAATAAAGGACTATTGGCACAGATTGACTTTATTCCATTTATCTCTGATTTTCATTTATTCCTTTGTTGTACGCTGCAATTTCAAAATGTCTTTATGCAGATATGTATGAGTGTGTGTGTGCTTGCTTGTATTCATCTATGTGCATATTTTTGTGTGTGCACTGCATTTCTGTGTTTGTGCATCAATTTGCATATGTATATGTCTGTGTAAGTGTCAGTGTGTCTATATGTATGTTGGTGTTTTGTTTTATTTATTTTTATTGTTCGCACTCTGCGGGGATTAAATTCAGTCTGGGTAGATGAGGAAGCCGGAGAAGGTGCTGTACTTATTTGTGTTTCCTCCGTGGACCTTCCCTCCGTCCAGCTGCACACACACCTCATCACCTACGTCCAAATGCAGGATCACACTGTTGGAGGCATAGTCGTAATTCTGATCAGCATCCTGAGCAATGGCGCTTGCTCTTACCTGTCACCGACAGAGGACATACACATTGACAATTAGAACACGGACAAAACTGCACAAACAGCTGCCTCATAGTCAGCGAGAGCTCCTTGTAGCAAAAAGTGTCATGCATCAGTCTCCACATTCATCACATTATGCTCATTTTTAAAACTGTATTCTTTAAAAAATATTCATTTATTTTAGGATGGGTTGTAACTCATTATTACAGCCTATACCTCAGAGTTATGGCTGTGACATAACCTCCATCAATGATGCTGCTTAAACACATGGATGGGACACTGACCTGTAACCTCAGAGGTGAACACAGCTACTATGTCTTTTATTGATCAGCTGCTCGTGGGACTTGAGGGCAAAATGCTGGGTGATGGAGAGCTGCATGGTGGTGGAGACAAGCGGACTCACTGGAGACAACGTTTTGTCTATGGGGAAAGTGGTTCAGCCGAGAAACAGCATCACTATCCACATCATCTATTGACCTGTTGCTTATGATGCTGGACCAGCTCAATATGCATGATATTGAGTGGCTATGCTTAAGCTAGACAGTTTCACATTTGCATGCTGTGCTTGAGTTTGGTATTATTGAGCAGGCAGCAGTGGATCTTTACTTGTTTGTTAACACATTTAATTGGATTTGCTGTGTGTGGACAAATACACATGCCTAGATTGAGTTACTGCTGTACAAGAAATAGGATTTGTATTAAGTGTGTTATTTAAACTTGCATATACATGTAAGGGGGGCAGATAGTAAGTATATACCTTGAAATATGAATAATCTTCAGGCAATCCAGAGTTTAATTTAAACAATATTAAAGCGGTTTCAGTGTTTAAAAATGCACAGAACATCAGCACTCCTTAAAAAAATAAAATAAAAAAGAAAGAAAGCCCTCTAAGTAGGATGTATCAATAATTCTGTTGTAGCGGCTCCAATCATCAGACACATGTCAGCCATCAGTGGCCTTATGTCTGGCTCAGTGTCCATCTACGGTGGGAGCACTCAATCTATGTCAGCAGCCAGACAAGCCACGCACATATCCATGACAGCCACAGAATATGATCTGCAACTCAACTACCATCATGTCATTCCCGTCACCGGTGCCTCTTTCTCCCCAATGAGCATGCATCAATTCGAAAACAGTCAATCGCAGAGCAACACGGCTCGAATTACTGTAACTGAAAAAATATGCTTGTTTCCCACTGCACCAATCTGTTTTTCCCTTAACTGAACATGCTGTTAACCATCTGTCCAGCCTGGAGTTGGATTGTATTGCGGGAATAATATCTGTAGGTGGTCCTAAATGAGACGATACTGCATGTTGGTGACCAGTTGTTAAGCATGGCCCTGTCCGTTCTAAACCAGATTGATTAAGGAGCTGAGAAGTCAGTCTCTGGGGGCTCGCAGCATAAAAGACACTCAGTAAAACTAACCACAGCTATTGTTAGGCTACTCCAACAGTCTTGTTTCATTACATTAGATGCCCTGATGGAATACAGGTATATTCTCCAGTCCACCAGGGAATGCTTCATATATAGTATGTGGTTTATTGGGGGATTTTTACATTAAGATGACCTAAAAAGACTTTTATCTGAAAAGCTTGTTCTCGCTGTTTTAGATCTATTCATATTTCTTAGCATGTGTTATTTCAAAAAGATGCATTTCAACACTTTGTTTCTTTTCATTTAATTCCTTTCATTTAAGCAGTTAGCCTGCTCCTATAATGTTTGCATTTTCCTAAATCTGTGAAAGATTATCTCAAAAAGACCTAATAACCAACCAACTGCATGCTTCTCGTAAAGCTAACTGAGTCTTACGTTCTTTAAATCATTATCTGTCCACGGTAGTGCTATCTTCTCTATATTCAAAGCAATATCAACAAAAGCAACTTTTCTCACATGTATTTTTCATCATCACCAGTTGATTCACATTTAAATGGCTAAAAAGAAAAACATTTACATCATTTAGAAAATGTATATTAGGCACTTAGCAAATAACAAATACAATTTTTGTTAAGATTTGACCCGTACTTTTTTTTCTAATTTTAGAGACCCTTGTGCTAACCGGCCTGACCAATTAGTTTAATTAAACATTAGTTGTAATTTACCCTTTCTTAGACCCTCAGAAGACCATCTCTCAAACAACAAAACCAATACACTGTCATCTATAAAGGTTATATTGTTCTGCTTGACATGTGTAGTGACAGCCAATAAAACATTTGCATCACTGGCTGCTTCTGACAGTGATGCTGTTGTTGTGACTTCCTATTGATACCAGGGATATGTCATCCAGCTCATTATTTTGGCCAAACAGTGTCATGGAAAGCGATGTGGGGAGCTCTGTTCATCCCTCAGGCCATCTCATATTCTAACGACTTTAATAAAAAAAAATTTTAATCTATAAATAAGAATAGCATTGATCACTCAGCAAATATAATTTAAATAGTATATGACATTATGTGAATAGATACTTCAGCTTGTGTTTCTGTGCTTGAAGGAACAATACAACCCATCCAGTGATGCAGATACCAGACAGAGAGGCATGAGGGAGACGTGGTGGGATTAGGGCAGGAAGCCGGCAGAAGAGATGGATACGGCTGGAGGACACAAACTGATCCTTGTGAAGCAGGCAGCATACAGTGCTGATCCTGGAGTTGGAAGGGTTGTGAGCCGTGAGGCAGGGGCCCCCGGGGCTTGCCTGTGGCTGTCTCTGTCTCCGCCTAGCCCTTTCATTATAGGGCCTCCAGTAAACACGCCTGGGAGCTGAGGGCCACGGGCGAGAAAGAAGGAGGGGGGGGGGGTGTAAGGAGCAGCTGCAGTGTCATTTTCTATACAAGTGGAGCCGCAGCACAAAAGACAGGCAAGGATAGACAAAATGAAGGGAGAGTGGAGAAAAACAAGGACCAGAGAGTTGAGGAAGGGGGGCCTAGAGTAACAGACTGATCAAGCGAGGCTATTTTGTGAGACCAGGGAGATGTGGGGGTATATGAAGTCTTGTTTTTATCTGTGGTGCTTTGCTCCACTGGTAATAAAACTGACAGGATTCATTCACTGTGATATACTGACCTCTTAGAGCGGAGACAATAGAAAAGTAGCTGTTAAACTTACCTAAGGGACTCCTGCACATGGCAGGGGTGTTGGGGTGGGGGGCACGATGTTGTGGAAATAGATTATTTATTGAATAGGTTTTCCCTCTCCTCTGGGAGCCCAGGGATTACATGGCGACAAGGGACTTAAGCACTGAACCGTGCCTTAGCTTGCTGTTACCTGCCATTCTGCATTGTAGCCAGTGGTCTGTGGCACCTGTGTGCACTGTGACTTCTTTTAATTATTGTGTTTAATCAGGAGCATATAAGCAGATTTTAAACAAAAATCAGAATTCAGACAGCAAATCTTACTGTGTATCAATGTCTTTCCCTCTTCGCCTCCTTCTGTGGGAGTTAATTCAGGTACCGGTCATTACAGCAAGTGATGACATTTTAACATTACCGTGTGAGATAACTTGACCTTTAACTGAGCTATTAAAAGAGCCCGTGTAAGATGAAAATACAAGGGAGAGATAAAATGAGAGTCGAAGCGGTGTCTATTTGTCTACATTGCATATTGCACCAAGAAAGTTTAATACATAGATATGTACAGAGTGGAGTGTTATAGAATTGTAAATGTGTAGGTGAGCAGCTCGCATATCAGTTAATGAGGGGAAAGGAGAGACATTCAGTGGTGTATTATCATCCTTCACAGCATAAAGCATGCCAGCATTAGCAGGGTCTGTACTAATAGCATTTGTTACCAATCTAGAATATTAACTAGAATTTAACTCTTATATTATAGGCAGTGATTTGACGAAGGAGGGATTCAACCCATTTATAAGAGCGCTGTCAACAATGAGAAGGGCTTGTTGACAGTCTTCTGCAGAGCAAGGCTGGATGCATTGAATTGTTAAGTATCTTAATGATATAATAGATATCTAGCATATTTACCAATTTTTATTTGTTGTGTTCAGTGCAAATAATATAAAGTAATCAGCTGGGCAAGAAAAGTGTTAATCAAACTTTCACGTCGTACTTTAGAATTAAACTCTAAGTGGATTACAAACATGGAAGCAGCTGAAGTGTGACCTCCCTCCTTCAATCACAAATCCCTTGGCTCTGAAACGGTGTCATGCTGCAATGATTTGTGAAAGTTAGATTGAGGTGTGTGCAGGTAGGCTTTACAGGGAGGGGATTTATTGAAGGTAATAGGTATTGGATCTATAGGAATCCCATGGAAGCCTCGCCCCAGTCAGCGCATCCTCCTGAGATCATGTCACATGACACACTCGGAGACTCCATGCAGCATGCTAGTTTGAAACATTATCAGTTGAGATAAAAGTGAAGCTATACAACTCGAATGTTTCCAGAAGGCATTTATCGGCATTCTGAATTAATTAATGCACTCATCTTAAAGTGTCTCTAACAAGCATTACATTTGCTCAACTAGTGCATAAACAGAGCTCGCAAGACCTGTTTTTCTCTCTCTCGCTCGCTCTCTCTTTCTCTAGTCGACCTTGATCACTTGTCAAGTCGAGACGTGTTGAGTGGGAGTCCATTGGTCATCATGCCTGATCTCATCCTGGCCTTCACCACCAGCCTCCCAGATGCATCGTCTACCAGCCCACTGTCTCCATACCTCCATTAAGTCATCTATCTTCCTCTGCTCCACCCCTGATCTTGCCATCAACTCACTTGTCTTGTTTTGCTCTCCCTTTTCAGAGTCTTTAAATGGACGTCTCAGCATGTCCCTGCCATGTCCGGTCTCTCGTGTTTCATTCATTCTTGCTGAATCTTTCTGAGATTATTCTCCTGGCCTGGCTGCCGCAACACAACATATAAGGTTATAAATGACCTTACCTGTTAGATAGGTAACAACACAAGTTGAAAGGCAAATTTGTGGCAATGGCAATTCGATCGACTAAAAAACAGAAAAAAAAGAAGAAGAAAAAAAGCAGCAGGCAGAGAAAAATATCCAATAAAGCTTCAGCACCTACGGCAATGGTAAAACAGGCTGTTTGATTCTATAGCCAGGAATGCAACCTGTCAAACACAGTGCCCTTTTAGTAAACCCTAGCCACTGACTGGCCTCAGGCACAATACCCGCCTGCCTCAGGGCTTCAATAACTCCAAACATGATCAGGCATTCTGCAGAATTTCATTTACACTCCATTTCCATCTACAGGCAGCTCTGTTTGGGTAGATCCCTGTTAGGTGAGTGCTCTATTTAACAGAACTGTTTAAAGAGGCCAGCTCACGGGTGTCAAATGGACCTGGGTGAGGTTAAATAATTGAGTTGAGTGAAAAGATAATTAATGGAGAATCAATGAACAAGCTGGGAAGGGGTTAGGAGAGGAAAGTATAGCGTGTGTTCAGGGGATCTCATCTAAGATGTATAAATTATTTAGCAGTCTAAAATGACTTGAATGACAATATGGAGCATTAGGCAGACAGCCTTAAACACATATTCACCTTTGTGGTCTCATGCATATATAACAGTGCATCAAATATCGAACATTGGGTGATGAATTATTTTAAACAATTAATTTTGCATCTTCAAAACCAAGTTTTAATCATCCTACTTTAGCACAGCTGCAATGATAAAGTAAACTGTACGCATGAACCAGCACTAAGCCATGTTGACCGACAGTCCTTGATACACTACATGTCTAGAGAGTAAGTTCAGAGCAGAGTGCATTTGCATTCAGAGTCCTTGATGAATGAATGAATGCGTAAAAAGAAACTTGAAGAATGTTTCTTGAATTTGGAGTTCTCTGATAAAATCCCTGTGATTTATCCCACCTCTCCTCTCCCCTCCCCCCGTCAGCCCCTCTGTCTTTAATTAGTGTCTGGGGAATGAAAGAGGGGATGAGTGGACTGTCAATTTTACATTCATTATTTATTTAGCTGAGGTGTAAACTGGCTGGTCCACATTCTGACAGACATTTCTCTTGTGCTCTTTTGCACTTCTGTTTAGGCGATAATCAAGTTCTGTGTATGATACTTACTAATTAGACTGTTCCTTTCGGCGGCAGCGGCTGCATTCTGCCACTTGTCATTTAGCCACAGTACATGTGGGAATGCAAATACCTGTAGCCGCAGTTTTAGACTGTATAGCATGAATTCGCCTTAATGAGGAGAAAGACTGCCGTTTCATTCTTTGGCTGTCATGTTGCCACCTGCTAAGTGGAATGTGCTCTGAATCTGAAGAGCTCAATGTTACAGAGGTGAATATGAGTCAATGTTAAGACGGGATGGTCAGCAGTAAATAAAAAATAAATAAATCTGCTGCATGGTCATGTGTGTGCATACATACAAATACATACTTATACATTCTCTATTTCAGCGTCTTCATGCATGCGCATCCTCACACACACACACACTTGTACTCACCAGTCCGTTCTTCCTCAGGTCTGCCCACATGCTCGTCCCGTCACCACCTCTCATTAGAACATGGTAGGTGAAGAAATAGATGCCAGGCAGTGGGCAGGTGAATTTGCCGGTGCTCGGCTCATAGTAGTTACCAACATTTGTCACCACATCATCAAACTTCAGTATTTCATTGCCGTCGTGTTGCTTTCGTAGCCCTGCGTAAAAGGCAATTTTGGGAGTGTAGAGTGAGGGAGAATAGCCACCGGGGCCTGGACCTTGGGGACCCTGTGGCCCTGGTTTGCCTGGCTCTCCAGGGGGTCCACGTTCTCCTGGAGGCCCAGGGATCCCTGGAGGCCCTCGAAGCCCAGACTTTATCTTCTTTCCAGAGTAATCCTGGGGGGGTGGAGACGCAGCTGTCAGCTCTTGGCCTGGCTGAGACGTGGTGTAGGGATCACATACCATCCTGCAGCTTCCAAGCATTTCATAATGGCTCCCTGCATTTCCAGCATTTCCTCCTTTGGTTGTGTGGACCAGCAAGGGAATGGCAACCAAGAGTATTAGAACCATTGCTACACCTACAGCAGCTCCAATGACGCGTTTCCTGCGGCTGAGCCGTGAAGCGGCCAGCGTCAGGAAGTCCTCTCCCCCCTTGGCTGGAATAGTGCCGGCCAGGATGAAGCCTCTCAGAGAACCAGTATGATTTGCAAAAGAGACGAGGAGGACTTGGGGGTGTGTGGGGGAAACAGCGTATCACTAGAGCAACTATGAATGAGAGGACAAAATGGCAGAGAGCCACGAAGGAAACAACCAAGGGAGAAAATCCAAGAGAAAATTTAAATGTCCAGGGTTCAAAATATTATGACTATATGACTGAAATAATACAAACTTCACACGCCACAGTTTTTAGAGAAGTAAGCACAAGAATCTCGATGGCTCAGATTTGTGGTGACATGGTACAAAAAACACAATTTAATTGATTAAGTCTGCTTTGCCTTTTTCTGACTTCTCCTGGAGTCCTAGAGTTCTGTTCAATTTTCAGCATCAAGCAGAAACGGTAGTTGGCAGTGAGATGGTGATTGTGAAACCAGAGCTTAATTAGAAGTATGCTGAAATGAGAGCTGGTGCCAAATTCATCTCACTGAAGAGGGAGTAGAGGTTTGTTTGTTTTGTTGGATGAAGAATAATCTACAGTTTGTGTTTTTAGTTTTTGTTTTTTTCACTGAAAAATCTTCTTTTAAGTCCTCCCTCCAAAGCAGAGGATTTCACTTCATGTGTATATCTCACTTAATGCCATGGCTGAAAGTTTAAAAAAAAAAGTTCATCAAAGATCTCTGGCTGACACAATCATCCTATGACCTCCCACTTTTATCTGTTCACATTAAAAAGATGTTTTTCAGGAAACCAAAAGCGATTTTGTTGACTTGGGCGTGCTTTTCAAACGTTCCTCTTCTGGCTATAGCTGGATCTAAAGAGGATGGTAAAAAGAGCAGAGACACTCAATAACTGATTTGGTCTGACTTACTACACACATGTACACAATTTAAATGAAGCACAGCATTAAAAGAAAAAAGTAAAACAATGAAATTAAAATAAAGTGATGGAATTAAAATGTTCAGTTTAAAATAAATATAGGATTCATTTTTGTAGAAATATGCCAAACATATATACATATTTTTACAGGTGATTATTTATTCATGCAAAATATCTGCAGCGAGTCTGTGGTTAAAAGTAAATTGCTAAATAAAACTGAACATTTATAAACTCACCATCGGCTCTTTATAATCCCTTAATTTCTGAAGGACAAAATCTGTGTGACTCAGTGTACTTCACGCGTCCCATCAAATGACTGAAGGACTTTGGACCGCTACCGTGCCAAATGGAGAGCTGGAGAGCCGACGGGCGCGCAGGAAATGCCAAGAAAGTGAGTTTCTCGATCAGAGCGTAATCCCCTCCTTTCTTTCCAGGTAGAAAAAAAGTCTAAACGATATAAACTTCGGAGGAATTTAAACCTTGCAAATATTTGCTTGAACACTTTTTTTTTTACGCAATTCCAAATGAAAGCGCACGCCGGTCTGACGCTCCTATCCAGAGGGTCTGTCCACTGTACCGCCTTTCGCAGCGCTTGGTCCATGGGCAGTCCTAGTCTACACCTGTTAGATTTCTCTCTCTCTCTCTCTCTCGCTCCCCCTCTCTCCACACACAGAGTTTCAACATTTTTATTTTTAAACTTTAGATATAAACAAAAAAAGAAAGGTTCTTCAATGAACCACTGAAAGAAATGGTTCTTGAAATGGCTCTCTCTCCCCCCCCCCCCCCCTCTCTCTCTCTCTCTCTCTCTCTCTCGCTATCCCCGTTTTGTTTTTTCTTTTTTCTTTTTTGGTTTGTTTGTTTTTTTGCTAAAACGGATGTTTTTTGTTAAATTCTTTTTTGTACACACTCACAATAGCAAATATTATTATTTCATTATTATGGCTGTTGTATTATGTTGCTGTTGTTCATATTGTCATTATGCTGCATTTATTTACCTTCAAACTGACGCAAATGTGGACTCAATCACACATATTGTTCCATCTGTATCTCGCTAGCCCGACATTCACCTGTTGTTAGTGGCAAACTCTTTGCAAGCAAAATGTTTGATAGAGTGTTGCAAAAGGAAGGCAGATGTTTTCATCTTCTGTGTGCCAGGCAAGGGAGGACAGAGCATGGTGACTAAGTAAAAGCTGCCTCGGCATGATGTGTGAGGAATGGAGAGGAGACACTAAATGTTCCCCAGACCATTGTCTGTGTGTGTGACTCGCATCCCACTGCTATAAAGCCTCATTAGTGAGACACCCTGCCCCAGACATTGTGCTGCTCTTTTTCTTTTACCTAAAAACTCACACACAGGCACATATAATACCTCCACTTCAGTGTTTATACACATGCATCCTAGTGGATGTACGGACAAAGAGATTTTACACCATTAATTCTGGAAAGGCAAGTTTTGCATCCTTGTATCAGCATTCCCTACAGTTTTAGTTACCACGGCATCCCTTTCACTGGTGGTCACATTTCATTTCAGAAACATATTGGGCAGATTTTTAGTTCATATCATCATTTCCTTGGAGTCTTGTGTCACCTGTCTGACAGGCACAATCACACATCTGCGAGTTTAAAGTTTAATGGCCGAAGCAGTGGCAGCAAGGGGAATAGGTCTGCATTCAGTATTGATGATTCCCTTTTCATCAACCCCCACCTCCCTCGACCTCCATCTCCTCAAATACGATGACCACTATCTGGTAATGTAGGGATCATCACCTTATCCCACCGGACATGGAGAGATAAATAATCACCAAGTTTTAAGGTGGCTTTCTAAGGATGGTTTGGACTTAGTGGGAAATTGGTAAAGTGTCGGAAAGGTTTGGGGAAGCGATATCAGGCAATATTTCTGTTGGGAGATGTTGGTGCAGCTGGGCAGCACCGGGACGAGTTAAATGCTGTGTCAGTCCCAGTTTGCAGGTCAGTCAGTCTGTCCCACTAGAACAGTGCTCAGAGCTCCTAAGCAGCATGGGGAAGATAATCATTGCCAACAGTCAGAGGCAATATGCTCAGGATTGGATTTTTAAAGCCTGTTAAAATATTACTGAGGTGATTAATATTGAAATATGTGCATGTCTTTCAGCTGTCTGTTCCCTCTCTCCCTATTCTCCTCTTGATTCATTCCTCTGACTATTCGCGCTCACCTAAAATTTCAATATTATGCATTATGTTGATGAGGTGTGTCTTCTTTTTATTCAGTGCAATTGCTTTATCATGTTACCTGTTCTGATTTCACTGTGACTCACACAGAATTGACTGACACCAGCAGCAAAAGGGCCATAGGAGAATAAGTACTGGGCTTTTTGAGTTATTAGTTTGTTTAATAATTAATTTCATATATTATGATACACCAAGAATAAATCTCTGTCTTTTGTGCACACGCCTGCATAATCCGAGCACCAGTTTTTCTCTCGACTCCTCTGTGTAAATAAGTAAGAGCGAGGCAGAAACGTATTTATGGCCACATTACTCACGTTATGTTTCTCTTCCGCTGTTGCTCTTTTGTCGGCATAGTTTCTTAAAGACATACTAATTCTTCAGTGCAGTGATCCATAGCAATCGTCAAATAGTTTCACATTTGCAAAAATGCTCGCAGACTAGGAATCAACCAGGAATAGATATGTTGCATATGACACGTGATACGTTTTGTGCAAACATCTCATACTGAGCATCAGTTCTTTCATGGATGATGGCATAATGTCCCCAAGAGGTGTGTAGCTGTAGGAGGACTATTACTCCCTGGGGAACCACCATGCACATCTTCCATAGTTAACACTGACAGCTATTCAGCTATCAAAGTCCTGTTCTTTGCTATGTAGATTGTACTCTAGTGGATCACTTTAGAGGTCATTAGGGGCATAAAGGTGGTCTGGGACAAGTGTTAAATTGTACAGATGAAAAAAAATGTATAGTGAGAGAAGTCTTGTCTTTAAATCAAAAGCAACATAGATCAGTAAAATAAAAGGGACGCTTTAATTTAGTCTGTCTGTTGAAAATGTGGTTCCAGTTGGATGTATGTTGGAGTAAAAGAAAAGCGCAATGCAAAAAACATGGAACAAAATGCATTTGAAAATATATGATGTGTGTTTATTTTTTGGCTAACTATCTGGAAAGCGTTATTTACTTTATTTACTACCTGGGAGTGTGTGTTGTACTGTATTGAAAGGGTAGGCTTATAAGCTTAGCGTGGATGAGTGTGGATGTGCCTACATCCTGGTGCTCTGCTGTTTCATTAGGCTCTGATTATGGGGCCTGATGCAGAGTGACAGTGTGCAGATTGAGTTGCACAGCCACTCTAATTCTCTCTATTAATAACAACCCTCCACACTGCCGTCCTGAACCACATTTATTAATCACAATTTGTCATCTGTCCGATGCTCCACCCTCTCCTTCTCCCTTCCGAATACCCTCCCTCTCTTTATTTGTGTTCTCCTCCAGCCTCCCTCCCAACAGGGCCAGTTATCCCTTGCACCGCTCCACCTCCGCCTCCTCCCACCCTCTACACCAGCTCCATTCGCCATCAACTCAGAGACATGGTCCAGCATACAGAGGGATGTTCTCACTCTCTCCACTCACACACACTCTCCCACTCACTTTAATTGCACTCTGGATTGAGTGTGATTAATCAAAAGCTCTCCAGTTTTAATTGGCCAAATAACAGTTAACAACTTGGATTGTGTGGACTGTTTTAGTAACAATTTACTGAAGATTATAATAAATTGCAATAAAACAAACCTCAATTTGCAATTAGTGAGCAGTTATGATGCACGTTGCTGGACTTGCAACACATCCAAACCGTGTACAGTGTAATGCATCATTATATGGACGTTCAACCATTCGGTGAGATAGCGTGCAATGGCCTTTTGGAAAACATTGATTCTTTCTAGCATTAATCCCAGCCATCTGAAATTTCTATTTACACAAATGCTGGCATTTAATCAATATGTATGCTGGAGATATGCACAAAGTATTATTGCATTATAGGTGCGAAAAGATCCTCATAACTAAAAATCACATTTCTGCTCATGTCTCATTCAAATGGCCCTTGACCCCACAAAGAAAGATGATTTATGAGTCAGCCGGTCCCCTAGGTCTTGCTCTGCCATTCCAATTTTCAGAGTAAGGTTACGCTCATTATATTGACACTTTTAGGATATTCATTTACACTGAAGTCCAATTTTACCACATATTAGAACTTTTCTCCTAGTTTGTATCTCCGAGAGTTACAGACGTGTGAAATCGGTCTGATTGTTCACTGCAGCAGATTTAAAAAGCAGTGCCTCCACTGCTGTGCAGCACTGTTCTTCTAATTACACCGCAACCAAACCAGCCCTCCGCTGCTCAGCGCTACACCCTCCAGAACCAAGGTCCCTCTACTGTTTTCTTTGAGCAGAACCGGTGTTTGGGGGAAACAGAGGCGATTTTCATGTGCAAATGTCAGTCAGCCAGCTCCCAGCAATCACAGCCCCGTCTTCTCCAGAG